ACCGGGCGGCCTGCGAGCCTGGAGGCGCGGGCAGGACCGAGGGCAGGGACGAGCGCGCCAGGCCAGCCGGCAGCTCCTGACGAGGTCGCACAGGACTCCTGCCGGTGGCAAGCGCCCAAGCACCACGACGCCCGGCCCTGACAGGACCATAACAGTGACAGCGCCGCCTGGATTGGCTGTTTGTAATCTGCTCTCCCATTGGCTCCCGGGGAAGGGTTCTGATTGGCCCTTCCTGTTGTTGATTACGGAAATCGACCTCGCACCGGAAGTTGCCTCAGAAATCTCTGTTCCGCCCTCTGCTGTTTGCTTAAATAGTCTACTCCATCTGGTTCCCCATCTTCAGGTTTTATAAACACGTCATTTTCGTTGTTGTCAAACAATTTGAGAGGTTAGTCGTGTGGGAATGGTTCACGCTTGTATTCCCAGCACTGTGGAGGCTGAGGCAGGAGAATGACTGCGAGTGCGTGACCAGCTTTGACTATGAAGTGAGCCCCTATCTCAAAACAAAAGCAAACCCACGAAAACTACTTAAGTTTCAAGACTTCAATCCCTCATCTCTGCTACCTTTACTAATTAATTGTGTAGAATGTTGACTTCGTTGTATGTTGTTTCAAGACTTGGTTGCCTCACCTGTGATACAAAGGGGGCTAGATTGGAGGACTGGCATAGTACGGCTGTAAATTGCTACCTACACTCTAGGCATAGTCTAGCCAAATTCCTTTATGAGGAAGGCAACAGGCCAGCGAGGATAAATTAGTACGTGTAAGTCCCCTTGCGTCTACCCATTGCTGGTTTCATCTGTCCCAAAGCTTACAAACTCATCTAAATTTTTATTTTTAAAGTTTTATTTTGTGTGTGGGTGTGCCTGAGAGTCTTTATGTGCACCACACGGGTGCAGGTGCCTGCAGGAAGCCACAAGAGGGCTTCAGATCCCCTAGTACTGGAATTATGGCAGATTTGCACCACCTGAGTGGGTACAGGGAATCCAAATTCAAGTCTGCAAACACAGCAAGTGCTCTTAACCTCTGAGCCATCTTTCCAGCCCCACCCCCGGTATGTTTATAGTCTTAAAATGTACATTTTATTATTTTTAATTATGTAAATGTGTATACACATGAGTGCAGGTTCCTGTGAGGTTAGAAGACAGTATCAGATCCCCTGGAAATGGAGTCACAAGCAGTGGTGAGCGACCTGACAGGGATGCTGGGAACAGAACTTGGGGGCCTCTGCAAGAGAAGAATGGGATCTACTATATGAGCCGTCTCTTTGGTCCCTATTTATGTTGTTTTTTTTTTTATTTTCCGAGTGAGAGTTTCTCTGTAGCTTTGGAGCCTTTTCTAGAACTCTCTCTGTAGACCAAGCTGGCCTCGAACTCACAGAGATCCGCCTGCCTCTGCCTCCCGAGTGCTGGGATTAAAGACGTGAGGCACCAATGCCCAGCGTCTACCTATGTTTTTAAATGTTCAAATAAATATAATTAAATTTAATTTTCAAGGTACATAAAAGTGGCTTCCAATTTGGGGTGTTCTAAGGTCTATTGTAAAACACGTGCAAAGATGTACATTGAATCTGTAGTGGAGCAAAGGAAAGGCATAGCCTGAACTATCTTAAAAGGGATTCAGGGACATTTTGATACAGGTATTCAAAGGATGAATGGAAATTTACACAAAAATAAATAAAAGTGTACGTGTTCTGGTTTACTGGACTTTGGAAACTGGAAGTCATGGAGTTTTTTGTCATTTTGTCTTTTTTTTTCCCCTCAGGGCTGAGGATGGACCCAGGACCTTGTACTTTCTAGGCAAGTGCTCTACCACTGAGCTAAATCCCCAACCCCAGTCATATAATATAATAGCAGCAGCAAGGCAGAGTATGATGGTGCACACCTTTAATCCCAACACTGTAGAGGCAGAGGGAAATCTCTATGAGTTCGAGGCCAGCCTGGTCTACAGAGTGCATTCCAGGCCAGCCAGGGTTACACATAGAGAAACCTTGCCTATTTTTGGTTGTTTGTTTTTTGTTTTACAAAACAGGGTTTCTCTGTGTAGCTCTAGCTGTCCCAGCACTCACTTTGTAGACCAGGCTGGCCTGGAACTCACAGAGATCCGCCTGCCTCTGCATCCTGAGTGCTGGGATTAAAGGTATGTGCCATCACCGCCCAGCAGAAACTTTGTTTTAAAGCAACAACAACAACACATAGATTAGTCCTGCTCTCAACCTTGATCAGGTAAACCTTTTACAATGGGAAGGAGCTAATTCAGAAACATAATTAGCCCAAGTCTTCATAATGAGATCCTGCCTCCAAATAATGAAAACAAGTTGTAGGGTTCTGACATAGGATTGAGGTAGTTTCAATGATTATTATCAAGTTTAGTCCAAATAGGTCAGTCCTGGAAACCAATATTTACAAGAAAAAAATGAAATTAGCAAGTTAAATATAGCACATGCACCACTCCTTTAAAGTCAATGAACCTACTGTGCAAAGGGCCAAATAGAACAAGATTCCAGAAACAAAATCAATGGTCTGAAAAATCCTGCTTGGCTTATACAGAGATGAATAAACAATTAACAACAATAGAAAAACCCCAGGCCTGGCCCCCATACGCATCAAGCCCAGGGGGAAAATACTTTGCAGTGAGATTTCAAAGCATTAGTGTTGGGATCATGGAACCAGATTTGCAGGGTTCATATCCTATTGCTTCTACTTGCTATCTCTGTGACCTTTGACAAGTATTCCCCCCTCCCTCCATTTCCTGTTCCTTATCTGTAAGGAGTTCTGAGAAGAATACAAATTCCTACTTTATGGGGTTCTTGTGATGACTGAACAGATGAATGTAAACTACTTACTGTAAAGCTTATGCGTGTGTGTGTGTGTGTGTGTGTGTGTGTGTGTGTGTGTGTGTGTGTGTGGTGTGTGTGCTATATGTGTGTGTATGTGTGTGTGTGAGTGGTGTGTGGTGTCTGTGTGTGTTACTCATGTGTGTCTAAGTGAAGTTTTGGAAGGAAAGGAAAGAAGACAGAGCCACAGCAATATTAGAAGAGGTAACTAAGGGACTGGGGAGATGGCTCAGCAGTTAAGAGCACTGGCTGCTCTTCCAGAAGACCAGGGTTCAATTCCCAGCACCTACATGGCAGCTCACAACTGTCTGTAAATCAAAGATCTGACACCCTCACACAGACATACATGTAGGCAAAATATGAATGCAAAGAAAATAAAAATAAATTTTAAAAATTATAAAAAAGAGAGGTAACTAAAACTTTCAAACAAAGGCGAAGCAAATGCTGACATCTGTAGTTGTCCTTAGACTGCCACATGTATGCTGTGACATGGGAGCACCTAAGCCTACACACATGAACACACACACACACACACACATGAACACAGTACATCTTACATGTACACACAGAGCTTTTAAAAGTCAAAGAGTTCAGCTGACAGCATGGTCCTTTATCTGACTTTAGAGAAGCTACACATACTGACACACCACTGCAAATCTGCTACAGTGGTTCTCAACCTCCCTGATGCTGCGACCCTTTAATACAGTTCCTTAGCTGGGTGTTGGTGGCCCATGCCTTTAGTCTCAGCACTCAGGAGGCAGAGGCAGGGGGGATCTCTGTGAGTTCCAGACCAGCGTGGTATATAGAGTGAGTGCCAGGACAGCCTCCAAAGCCACAAAGAAACCCTATCTCTAATCCCTCCCCCCCAAAAAAATTACAGTTCCTTATGTTGTGGTGACCCCCGACCATAAAATCATTTCTGTTGCTGCTTCATAATTATAATCTTGCTATTGTTATAAAATTGTAATGTAAATATCTGATATGCAGGATATCTGATAATTGACCCCCAGAAGGGTCGTGACCTACAAGTTGAGAACCACTGAGCTAGATAGAGTGCAGGAACTCACTTGGGACAAATTTTGTTTTTGTTTTTGTTTTTTGAGACAGGGTTTCTCTGTATGGCTTTGGAGCCTGTCCTGGCACTCACTCTGTAGACCAGGCTGGCCTCGAACTCACATACATCTGGCTGCCTCTTCTCCAGAATGCCGCTATTATAGGTGTGTATCACCGGGCCCTGCTCAGAAAGCTCTTTTTTTTTTTTTTTTTTGGTTTTTCGAGACAAGGTTTCTCTGTGTAGCTTTGGAGCCTATCCTGGCACTCACTCTGGAGACCAGGCTGGCCTCGAACTCACAGAGATCCACCTGCCTCTGCCTCCCGAATGCTGGGATTAAAGGCGTGCGCCACCAACGCCCGGCTAGAAAGCTCTTTTTGAAACAAGTAGTTGTGCATTTTTTTTAAAAAAAATAAACTCTCCAGTAGTTTGTGCAAAGACAGAGGAAAGGGTGTGCAAGAACACAGTTGACGGAAGCGCAAAGACTTCTCTATGCCAAGCCAAGTGTGTCTTAGCTTTCTGGTGTAACCAGTGATATTGAGTCTGTGTGTGCCAATGTGAGCCTGTGTATTCAGGAGGATCTTTTGTGCGTTATCAATAGTGAAAACTAATAGAGGTGATATGTCTAGCCTTGGCTATCCTGCTGGTCACTGGGCTATGACCCCAGTGACTGAGAGTACAGGTTTGCTGGGAGCCTCATAGAAATCAAGATGCAGAGATATGTTCACCCTTGTCCTCAGTGAAAATATGCTTTAACCATCCAAACCAGCTCGTTTCACTCCTCATTCTTTATGTCTCTGTCATGCAAAAGAGGGAGGCATGGTGGCTCATGCCCATAATCCTAGCTCTCAGAAGGCATAGGCAGGAGACTCAAAAGCCCAGGGCCATTCTCGGCAATACAAGACCCTGTCTCAAAACAAAACAAAAAGAAAACAAACCAAAATCTTACTGAATATCTAAAACACATGAGCTAAGGATCCCAGACAGAAGCTGATTGGCTGATTAGAACTTTAGAAGCCACTGGGCAGTGGTTGTTACACATGCCTTTAATCCCAGCACTTGGGAGGCAGAGGCAGGCCCAGATCTCTGTGAGTTCAAAGCCATCCTGGTTTACAGAGAATTCCTGAACAGCCTCCAAAGCCATACAAAGAAAACATGTCTTGAAACCTCCCTAAAGAACTTTAGAAGCCATTTATTACCCACTTCAGTGTCTGACCCAAAAGGTCCTATCAGGCAAAACCTTTGGGATATATTAGCAAAGCTGTTAGTTCCTAACAACCCAGAAGCTAAATTTTGCTTCTGATCTGAAGCTTTTCCCAGGGGTTTCTTTGCTGTGATCTACTTACCTGATGTTTCCACCAACATATTTTAAATTATGCTGATTTATGACTTTTATTGTTCTGTTAATATAAAAACTTCCTGAAACTAAGCTGGGCATAGTGGTACACTCTAATCCCAGCACCCGGGAAGCAGAGGCAGGCAAATCTCTGTGAGTCTGAGACAAGCTTGGTCTATGTAGGGAGTACAAGGACAGCCAGGGCTAGAGAGAGTGTGTTTCAAAAAAACAACACACACACACACACACACACACACACACACACACACACACACACTAAGATATCAAATACAGTCTGTCTCAAAAAACAAAACAAAAAGCATACACACCAAGACCAAACAAAACAAAACAAAACAAAAAAAACTTTCATGTAACAGTTACTGAAGGGACCAGCCCTCCATTTCGGCAACCATAACAGCTGAACACATGCTTGTCTGACCTTGCC